ATATATATGTGAATATATCATGTAAACTTACCCTTTGAATCAACACTGGAATCCCTGAAAAGGAAAGAAGTTTTACTAACCTTGTCCACGCAAGTACCAAAATTAAAAGAATTAACAAAATTATGGGGAAAAACTTTTATTAGCAAAACGCTACACATGCATGTTTACATTTATATTAAATAATACATATGTGCTATAAGATGACTGAACGATTGAAAGAATCTGTTGACCTCTGAACTCCAACAAGGCACCTACATGTATATTATTCTGTACACATGTATTTTGTAAAAAGAACTGTTTGTCGGTCGTCACTTATGTGTATTATAAATAATAACCGGCAAAGATGCATGTACATGTAGGATTTTAAGGAGCATGCAATCAACAATCTGCAATCAAAATACAACTGACCTTGGAACTGCACTATTCTTTGCTGGATCACTATTTTCCTACATAAAATAAATTAATATAAATTAAATAACATTACATGTACGATATGCTGTAATATAGTAGTTAGTATTTATAAGTGCTGTCATGCTTGAATGTGTACAAAACCAGGTAGATATCAATTTTATGCAACAAGGATCTCTTCCTGACAAGTAAAGATTAGTACAAAGTGTAACTGGGCTACATGTACAAGAGCTGTCAGTGCCTTTGTATGCACCTTAAACAACTATGCAAACTCAATTTGCATTGGTAATTGATACCCTGGGATTATGCAAATGACAATATAAAAGAAGTTACTTGTGTTCCACCCCATCACCCAACTCAAGGCCGTGAAAGGGAAGAGGCTGCCAACCCAGCCTCCAACCCAACGAGTAAGTCAGGATTAATCCTGTCTGCTCCTATTTTCACCAGGTCTTAGGCTTGTGCCAGACCAAAGAAATTCCCCATCATACCTCATTACGATGTCATGAATAACAATACCCAGGATAGAATGTTACACTGTCCTCAATAATGTATAATATTCACATTCATAAGCTTAATTTACTTATTGTAAGTACAGTACATGTTGTATAAATTATGTAAAGACATGTA